GAGAGAGAGAATTTTTAATATTTATTTTTCAGTTCTCGGTGGACACAACATCTTTGTTGGTATGTGGTGCTGAGGATCGAACCCGGGTCGCACGCATACCAGGCGAGCGCGCTACCGCTTGAGCCACATCCCCAGCCCCTTATATCTTTTTTTTAAAGAATATTTATTTTTTAGTTATAGGTGGACACAATATTTTATTTTTATGTGGTGCTAAGGATTGAACCCAGTGCCTCACGCATGCTGAGCGAGCACTCTACCTCTGAACTACAAACACAGCCCTCTCTGATCTTTTTGAGGATATTAATTATAAAGGTTTTTGGTGGTTTTTTCCACTTTGATTCCTGCACTGATTATTTCCTCTTATTTTCTTCTCTTTGAATCTTGCCTGTCATGTTGGAGGCTTTCCTCAGGTGTTTGGGGGTCATTGATTCATTGTGAGTGAAGTACTTACAAGCTGATTAGATGTATATAGGAGTATCAAAACAGCTCCAAAGAGGAAATAAYCCAAATGTCCTTCAACAATAGAATATATAAATAACTTGTGGTGTGGTCATACAGTGAAATACTGTTCAGGAATGGAATGTATAAACTACAGCGAGTTGTAGCAATATGGTGACTCACAGGCATACTGTTGAGTTAGACAAAAAAGTACATTGAGGCCTCTGTTTGGTTAAAGTTCAAAAAACAGGCAAAAACTAACCTGTGGTGTTAAATGCAAGATAGTGGTTACCTTTGGAGTGGGGACAGTGAGTGGTGACTGGAAGCAGATACAGGGGACCTTTTGGGATGCTGGCCATGTTTTGTTCCTCAAGCTGGGTCCTGTTTTACTGTGTGTCATTTCGTGGAGCTCTATATCAGATTCATTTCAGCTGTACATTTTGGTGTGTGCACTTCAAATAGAAGTTGAACCTCTTTGTAGGTTTGGTTTATTGACTGGTGTCCACAGAGGGTGGCCAGACTGGGCATCTAGACAACACTTGCTGGGAACCCCTGAATATCAGTGTCTGAAGATAGAACATAGATGTGTTTGTTTTTTCTGCTATATTTAACTGAAAGTCTTTTAAGTTTCTTTCTAAACCCCATTTGTGGACAAGACAAGGTGTCTTTGTTATTATATCTGAGATGCGACGGGAACATTAATTTCTTCTTCAAAAAGTATATTAGTAGACTTAGAATCTCCATTCATTTGTT